AAACAAACACAATCACTCACTCACTCACTCACTCAATCAATCTATTAGTCAATCAATCAAGATCAAGATCTTGATTGATTGCATGACTGATAGATTGATTGATTCACTGTTTGGTTTACCGTTTTTTTTTTTACGTTTTTTTTCTTTTTTTTGTTTCGGATATTTTTCGTTGTATTTATCGTTTTTTTTCAATTTCTTTTTCGTGTTCTCTTCTTCTTCTTTCTTATTTCGTCTTTCTTCTTCTTCTTCTTCTTCTTCTTCTTCTTTTTCTTCTTTCTTCCCGCCTCCCCTCCCCCAGCTATCTAATCCTCCCGCCTCCCCCCCCTTTCGCTCCGCCCCCTTCCACTCCACTTCCTTCCGCGTCCCCCCCCTTCTTGTTCTTCTTCTTGCTCTTCTTCTTCTTTTTCTTCTTCTTCTTTTTAGAAAATTGGTGAATTAATCGGAGTAAGTCGCTAAGGAACTCTGAGTAAATATTTGACAAAAGTTAGGCAGTTGACTATCTATTTGTTCAGTGATTGTTTTTGTTGTGCTCAAACATTTCGTCGTTCTTCTTTCTTCCTGTCCTTCTTCATCTTCTTTATTCTCTTCTTTTTACTGTCTTCCTTCTTCTTCTCCCTCTTCTTCCTCTTCTTGTTCAATCTTCCTTTGCAGCAAGTGTGTGCTCCAAAAACTGTCACAGACCTTTGACAAGTGTGTGCTCCAAAAACTGTCATAGTCCTTCAACAAGTGTGTGTTCCCAGAACTGCTTTAGGCCTACAACAAGTCTGTGTTCCCAAAATTGTTGCAGGCCTAAACGCACCTTTGCACAGGCTAGGCCTTTGACAAGTGGGTGCTCCCAAAACCGTTACAGGCCTTTTAGAAGTGAGTGTTCCCAGGACTGCTATAGGCCTATAACAAGTGTGTGTTCCCGAAATCGTGCACAGACACACACAGACGCACGCAAACACATTCAGACACGCACACTTGGTAGAGGCCTCTGAGCACCTCTGTCCGTACTAAGCACTGTCGCGCATTTCTGTTTGTGTGCAGTTCGTTCGCGACGATGAAGTCAACCCAAGGCGCGAAGGGAATGACCAAGCCGAGAAGCTCCGGGCCAGCCCGGACAGTATCTTCTCGGGGGCAGCCAGCGTGCTCAGGAGGGGTTGTGCAACGGAGGCAACCACCGCAGTCCGACGTCTTTCCAGTCGCAGTGGGAGAGGATGATACTCCCCATTGCGGAGAAGGAGACGAAGTGGAAGTTTATGAAGACGAAGGAGAGTACGACGAAGAAGGCGAAGGAGAGGAAGAGGCAGGAGATGAAGAGGAAGAAGAAGAGGAAGACGGAGAGGCAGGAGAAGGAGCAGACGACGAAGAAGGAGTCGAAGAAGAAGAAGAACCAGAGGACGAGGAAGAAGGAGAAGAAGACTCAATCGAGGAGGAGGGTTGTTGGCTCAGAGAATTCCTTGAGTCGCGTCCTGTTCGCGATGACTTCAAGTTTTTCTTCTGGGCCGTGTACGTCACAACCAGTCTTGCCTATCTTCACGTGAAGGTCAGCGGCAGCGGCATTTATTCAGAAATTGGCGAAATCTTATTTGCGACCCACGTAACAGAGAAATATCTTTTGGGCGAGTTGTGGGTCGTCATCAAAAAGAAGGTTGTGAAATGTCTTCTGAAGGGAGACAAGTTAATGCCCATGAAGATGACAATCCAGAACAGGAAGCTTTTGGCATTAAACAAGATTGGCTGCAAGGTAACTGCATCCATCTTTGCCAACATTTCCAATGCATGTTTCATCAATCTCAATGGCCTAAATGTTTGTCGTCGCAGTTGCGGGTCTATCTTTTGAACTTGTTGTGGGCACGATTGATGTCAGCGTGTGACGCAGCTCTGTTTGTGTGTTCCATTTTTCCGCTGCGAACAAACTGCCACTCCTAGCGCGTCACCGAATGTTATAGGCCTATAACGTCGAAAGTATTTTCGACGCCACTGGATGTTCTAGGCTTATAACCCCCAAAACGTCACAGGCCGTCGCTGGCCGTCAACTACCGCTGCTTTGTTTGTGTGTTCCATTCTCGAAGACTTTTAGGCTAGTACTCCGTTGCGGACATACTGCTACTCTTAGCTCGTCACCGGATGTTATAGGCCTATAACGTCGAAAGCGTTTTGGACTCTACCGGATGTTGTCTGCCTATAACTCCTGAAACGTCGTAGCCCGTCGCTGGCCTTCAACTATCGTCGCTCTGTTTCTCGAAGACTTATAGGCCTATAACTTACTCTGACACGCTGCGTAACCGTTGATTGCCTTCGCGTGCTGTGCAACCTTTTGTGGAAGGCCTGTCTGCTTTTTTACGACCAAATTTGGACGAGAAACTTCTTCCTTTTCGATGCGCAGAGCAAGAAGCAGCAACTCGAACTCCAACGACCACGACGACCACAACGACCACGAAGACCACGAAGGGTGTCAAGATGCCGCGGCGCAAAGATGTCATTTCTCCTCAAACCGTGGTGGAGTCTTCTGGTGGTTTGGAAAGGGGATCGGGCAAAAAGAACACCGCAAAGTGAAAAAAGACGGCGTCGGGTCCGGGTAAGGGGAAGGCGGGCGAAGAGGGGCTACAAGTTCCCCAAGGTTTTATGCCGACCGAGCGTGCGGAAGATTTGACAAAGACTTGGGAGGAGCTGAAGAGATTGAAGGAGAAAAAACTCTCGCACGAGTCCTTCTATCTTCCAATGAGTTGTTTGAAGAGGCCGCCCTCGTAAATGGGAAAAAACCGTTGGAGGTGCGAGAGCTAGACAAGGATCATGTGCAGTCCATAATGGACTCCATGCTGAAACATCCAACTGGGGATCATCTTCCCTTCGTCGGCCTCATCGACCCTGGCCAAGCCAGTCGCAAAGAAGATGTGAATCGGGATGCGCTGAGAAATGGCCACTACGACATTTTCGTCCTTGGTGGCAACCACAGTCAGGAGGCTAGGGAACAGTTGTCTTGCATGAACCCCGACAACGACGACTACAAGTGCAATGTCTGCTATGTTTACGTTGGCCTCACGGTCGACGAGGCGAGGCAGGTCGCCCACATGCACAACCTCGCCGCCAGCTACCACCGGGACTACAGCTTCATCGAGAAGCTCAGGTGTTGGCGACAAGTCTTCGAGCGCATGGGGTCCGTCAAGTCGGCGGAAGTCAAACTCGCTTGCCTGAAAGAAGCTATGATTCCGAACGCGGCAAAGAAATTGGGAGCCCAAGACCCGTTGTTGCAGTGTGCTTTCAAGCCCAAAGAAATTTGGGATAATGAACATGTGGCAGAAGGGTGAGGTCAAAGGCCAGAAACTGAAGCCGGCAGCGAAGAGCATCCTGAAATCGGATCAGGATTTGGAATCGAGCGAGTCGGAGGGCGGAAAGAAAAGCCAGCGTGGGAAGAGGCTTCAAAGGGCAGCTGCGAAGGAGCAAGAGATGACGCTTTTGCACCCTCGGGTGCAAATGCAGAGTAGCAAAGTCCTCATGGTCGCCGACGACATGCCCGAACAACATTGGATGGCCATGGGTAGTATGGCTCCAGAGCACGCCGTTCCTATCCTCCTTGAGGTCATTGCGAAGCAGATCTCGCTCAAGGAGATGGAGAAGAAGTTCCAGCTTGTCAAGCAAGTCGCGTACGTCTGCAAGGCCTTCGCAGTGGGAGTGGGTTGTGCTGACTTCAAGGAGGCCGAGAAACAGTATCCGCTCCACACGAAGAAAGACATGTTGGAAAAGTTCGTCGATGGCGTCAGGAGGGGTCAGAAGAGTATCCCCGCACTCGATGGCCATGTTAAAAGGGCTTTGGACTGGAAGAGTAAGGAGAGGAGACTGCAAGCAAAGGAGGCTCTTCACGCGTTCCGTTCCGCACCTCTCACGGAGCCCTTCGTCGACTGGACGGAGGTGAAACATGAGAACGACGCAACGGAGGTAAAGATTATCAACGGCGACATGCGCCTGCTGTCTAAGCTGCAGACGGAGAAGCTGTCGATATCTCTGGCGATTTTCGACTTCCCCTACGGCTTCGCGCACGAGGGACATGCGCCTGATCGTGAGCCGTTTCCCGAGTCGGACGTTCTGGAGGTTCTTCAAAATCTGAAGGACGTGTCTAGTGCCCCATTGTGGACAGTTGCGGGATTCTGTTCAGTGGACACGCTTCCTTCCATTCGCTCCGCGTTCAGAGAAGTTTGCAATGCAGGGCAGGAGCTTTCGACGTGGTGCAAGCCCAATGTGACGAATCCCGGTGGGCCCCGGCTTGTGAGTGCGACGGAATTCTGCGTGTTGGGCTACTACAGCCAGACAGGGCAGCGCGAGATGGCGCATTACAACTTTGACCCTACAGATCCGCGTCACAATTTCCAGCTCTTTAATGCTGTGACGCAGAAGTACCAGCACCCCGGCGGCGGTGTCCTCTGCCCGTATCAGAAGCCGTACAATTTGTACTCCTGGCTGGTCAACAAATTTTCTCCTACGGGGCCCTGCATTCTGGACGGTTTCTCTGGTTCCAGGACTGGCGCCATTGCGTGTGTGAAGGCGAATTCAAATTGTCTGGTGTTGGAGATAAACACGAAATGCGCCAAGAGAATCGCGACGAGGCTTTTGACAGACATCGACGACACACTCGCGCGTGAAACGCCAAAGAGGATCCTCAAGCAGAAGGCATCACAAAACAGCTCACTTGCGAAGTCTGCCGAAAATGAGCTTGGCGTCGACGGAGACACGGACACTGCTGCTGGAGTGATGCAGACCGTCGGGGAGGCCGCACTGGCTGTTGACGGGCCATCTACTGAGCCTGTTGAACATGCTTCAGGGCCATCTGCTGAGCCTGTTGAACATGTTTCCGGGCCATCTGCTGAGCCTGTTGAGTAGCCACCTCTTTCTCGTGAGCCTGCTTCCGTGCCTGTTCCTGGCGTTGTTCTCGACGCTGGACCCGAGGCTGAGACGCAACATACGGTCGGGGCTGTCCCGGCTTCTACAAATGTTCAGCAGACTGTCCTGAGCCTCGCCATGAGCCAGGAATCAGACAGAACCACGACTGGCGGCAGGAAGGGGCAAAAGCGAAAGGCCGGTGGTGAAGAGGTATCAAGTCCGCAGGGTGGGGTGACGACTGGCCCCAAAGCCAATACTCGCTCACGGACTGCGAGGTGACTGAGGCGACGACGTGTCCTTTGCATATAGGCCTATATCTCGGGTGTGGACACGCACTTGCGATAAAGGCCTATATTACATGTGTGCCCTCAAACCTCTGYCAGTTTCGTATTCTGCCTACTCTTCCCTCTTGGTCGCATCTTCTCCTCCACTTGTTCTGTCACCATGTGTAGCCAAAAACACACGGGTCGCTCGCGATAGTGACAAAAGGTCCAGGAGCTGCCATTTGTTGGCATTGAATAATGATTAGCTTGGTACATTCCAGTCAGAGAGCCGAAGCAGGATCCACAACGATCCATGTCGCAAGGATTGCGCCTCTCGCGATTGGTGTGAGAAGAGAAACCAAGCTTTATTCGTTTACGAGTCTCCTGTTATCATCGCATGGCCGAAATGAGGATTTCTGTGGTTTGTGGCCTAGGAGCTGCCGTTTGTTCGTGTCGAAGAATGAATTGCTTGGTACATTCCGGCCAAAGAGCCGAAGCAGGATCGAAAAACGGTCCATGTAGCAAGGATTGCGCCTCTCGCAATTGGTGCGAGAAAAAAAACCAAACTTTATTCGTACACGAGTCTCCTGTGGTGTGTGCTCGTTTGCCTGGGTGCCTCCCAAGATTGGTCGTTGTCGGAGTGCGTGTTGCTTTGCCTGGAAGCTTTTCCCAGGATTGGCCGTCATTCATTCGTCGTTGGAGCTGTGTGGTTTGGCATGTGGCTTTGTTTTTTGTAGAACTGTTCTTGTGTAGACTAGGCCAGCTCTTTGCTTTCTAGGTCGCCGAAGTGGGAACCAGGCGCACTCGGTTCGTGGTTCAGACCGCAGTGGGTCGACAATTTTGATAGTGTCATCGTTACTGTGAACCATGTGCTGTACATTGTAGGCATTTAGAGCCATCCCTGAGGCACTCGGCACACGTGTGGTAGTTTTCGGGGACAGGGGGTACTTCAGTTTGCACATGGGCTAATTGTGATATTTTTTCTAAAGGTTATTTTTGATAACCCTCTCGTTTTGATGTGCGAGTTCTTGTCCATTTACCTTTGGGTGGACGACCTCTCTCTCTCTCTCTCTCTCTCTCTCTCTCTCTCTCTCTCTCTCTCTCTCTCTCTCTCTCTCTCTCTCGGGCTACCAGAACAGTATTATAGGCCTATAACTCTTTCTCTCTCTCTCTCTCACGCTCTGTGTGTTGTGTGTGCGTGCAGGCAGAGCTCAGCAGTGCTCGGTGTCTCACAAAATGACTCTCCTCTCTCTTTCGCTCTCGGGCTATCAAAACAGTATTACAGACCTCTAACTCTTTCTCTCTCTCTCGCGCGCGTTTGGTGTGTTGTATGTGTGTGTGTGCAGAGCTCAACAGTGCTCGCTGTCTCACAAAACGACTCTCCTCTCTCTCTCGCTCTGTTTGTGTGTGTGTGTGTGAGTGCAGAGCTCAGCAATGCTCAGTGTTGTTGTAGGCCTTCAGACACACGCGCACAAGGACACAGTTAGACACACACAGACAGACACAACCACACACACACCGGCACAGACGCGCACAACCACACGCACAAGAGCACAGAGATACACACACACGGACACACACACAACCAAACACACACACACAAACAACCATGCGCACACAGACACACACAGACACGCACACACAGAGACACAAACAAACAAAGGTAGACACAGACACACACGCACACACATAACGTAAGCACACACACACGAAGTCACATTCCCCAGAGTTGTTATAGGCTTATAGTCATTTTCGTCTGTGCCAGTTCAGTTTACGCACAGACACACGCACACAAGGAGACAGTTGGACACACACAGACAGATACAACCACACACACAGGCACAGACGCACACAACCAAAGGCTTACAAACAGACACACATAACGTAAGCACACACACACGAAGTCACATTCCCCAGAGCTGTTATAGGCCTATAGTCACTTTCGTCTGTGCCAATTCAGTTTACACACAGACACACGCACACAAGGAGACAGTTGGACACACACAGACAGATACAACCACACACACAGGCACAGACGCATACAACCAAAGGCTTACAAACAGACACACACACACAAGGACATAGTTAGACACACAAAGATACACAGACACAGACACACACAACGACACACGCACACAGACACACACATGCACACAGACACATACGAACACGCTGACACAGTCTGCGTCTTTATTTGTGTGTTTAGTGTGTACCACACACGAACACAAACTCAGCACGTGTCCGTGTTTTGATGTGCATGTGTTTTTGTATGTTTGTGTCTGTTTCAGTGTGTGTGTCTTTGTGTGTACACTGGCACAGACGAGCGTAAGCACACACACACAAAGTCAC